AGATTGCTCATCTCCGTTTTGTTTTGTTCTTTTTCTGGAGTTTTGTTTGGTTCTTTCATTTGGGCCATGTTTCTTTGTCTCCTCATTTTGGTAGACTCCCTGTGTTTGTTCCCATGTATTAAGTAGAGCTGCTTTGACTCCATGTCTTGGTAGTGTGGCCTAATGTACTAGGTGTTTCCTGTAGGGTCCAGTGGTACAGTCTCCCCTATCTCCAAAGCTCGGTACTTGAGGTGCACCCTCCGAGTTGACCGAGTACTTCCTCCTCTTGTAGATGAGTCTTGATTGCTGTCAGCAAGTCAATGGGAGGGTCTTACCCAGTCCAGACAGCTGGTAGGACTAGCTCTGACCTCTGGCCAGCAACCACCTCCCTCCCTGGCTTGTGGAGGTTGGGTGGTGCTCTGACATGGTGTGTAACTCAGCTGAGTGCATAGGTTCTGGGGTTTCCCAGGTGTTACAGGCCAAGGTCACCCTCTACCTGTGTTCTGTCTGGGGCCCCTGAGGCGTAAGCTATAAAGCAGTTTGCAGATGGCTGCTGCTAATGCCAGGCCTGGGGCCATTCAGCGAGAGGTATGGCAGCTGGGCTCAGCTGTTGCTTGTTTGAGCGGGTTTAGGAAGGTCTGAAGCCTGCGCCTAGCACAGCCCTTCATATGGAAAAGCCTCTGTTACCAGCGTGGGTGGGCCTATAAGTGGGGTGGGGCAGACCCTTAGCTAATTGTCAGGGTGGAGCTTACCCTGTGAGCCAGGTTGATGGAGACACAGATGTGGTGCCACCGCACAGTGGCTCTCTGTCGGGGAGGGCTCAGGAAAGGTACAGTGGCCACTCTCTGCAGTTCTGTCTGGGAGAAAGCTGTCCACCAGCTCTTGCCCTGATGCCAGATACTTCAGTTCCCCCCTGGGTGCTGCTGGTGCCCTTCAAGGTGCTGCCGAGGTGCTGGAGCCCCGAAGAAGTAAGTCTGAGTAAGTCCACGTGCACTGTGAGACCCTTTAAGAGGAGAGGCCTGAGAATCCTGCAGTTTCTTCTGCCAACCCAGCTCCCATTCTGTTTCTTACAACCAGAAGGTATGGGGACTTACCCTGGCCCTGGAACCCTGGGCTGGGCAGTCTGATGTGCGGCTGGCACCCCTTGCTCCCAGGATATCCCTCTGGTACACAGCCACACACCCAGGTTTAGGTCCAGGATACCTGTGACTCCGCCCCTCCTTCCCCCCTGCCTGTCTTGATGAATGTGGTTTCTTTAATTCCTTACTTGATGGATTTCCATACAGGTCAATTTTCTGACGGTTTTGAGTGATATTTGTTCTGTAATTTAGCTGCAATTTTTCTGTGGTTGTGTGAGAAGAGCCACGTTTACCAACACTTCCATCTTCCCTCCTTCAATTTTAAATGATAGCCTTGTTGAGTAAAGTAGTCTTGTTGTAGGTCCTTGCTTTTCATCACTATTTCATACTTTCTGCCCTGAAAAGTTTCTGTTGAGAATTCTGTTCATCGTCTTAGGGAGCTGACACGTATATAATTAACTGCCTTTCTCTTACTGCTTTTAAGAATTTCTCTCTCTTGGTTCCCCCCCCCCCCGCCCTGTCCAGTGTGGCTCAGTTGGCCGCAGCATTCATTGTCCCGTGGCCGAACGGTCGCAGGTTCATCCCAGGTCGGGGTGCGTGCATGGGCTGTGGATTTGATCCCTGGGCCAGGTTCGTATGATTCCCAGCCTGGGCACATTCAGGAGTCAGCCGATTGATGTTTCTCTCTTAAATCGATGTTTCTCTCTCTCCCTCCCTCTCTCTTTAAAGGCAATGAAAAACAATATCCTCAGGTGAGGATTAAAAAAAAAAAAAAAGAATCTCTCTTTTTAACCTTTACCATTATAATTATGATGTGTCTTGATGTGGGCCTCCCTGGGTTCATCTTCTTTGGGACTGTCTGCACTTTCCACACTTGTGTGTCTTTTTCTTCACCAGGTTAGGGAAATTTTCAGCCATTTCTTCAAATAAGTTTTCAATTTCTTGCTCTCTCTTTTCTCCTCATGGTACCCCTATGATACAGATGTTGTGTGGGAGGAGGTCTCTTAAACTGTCATTTAAGTTTTTATCTTTTTCCTGTTTCGATGGGGTGTTTTGTGCTACCTTTTCCTCCAAACCTCTGATTCGGTCCTCTGCTTCATCTAATCTGCCGTTTACTCCTTCGAGTGTATTATTATTTCAGATATCATATTCTTTACTTCTACCTGGTTCTTTTTTATAGTTTTTAAGTTTACTGGCTCTTTACATACTTGCCGAGCTCATTTATTCTTCCCCTAAGTTCCTAGAGCATCCTTACAACCATTATTTTGAACTCTGTATCTGGTAGATTGTCTGTCTCCATTTTATTCCGTTCTTTTTCTGGGGAGTTCTCCTGTTCTTTTATCTAGGGCATATTTCTTTGTCTCCCCGTCCTGTTGCCTCTCTGTAATTGTTTCTGTGCATTAGGTAGAGCTGCTATGCCTCCCAGTCTTGGCATGAGGCCTTGTGTAGTAGGTGTCCTGTGGGGCTCAGTGGCACCTGATCACCGGAGCCAGGCGCTCCAGAAATGTCCCCAGTGTGGGTTATGTGAACCTCCCACGGCAGTTGAGTCTTGATTGGTGCTGGCTCCTCCATGGGTGGGGGTCACCCCAGGCGGCCTGGCTGTGAGCGCTGACCCGGCCTCGGGGTACGACCAGCTGCTGTGTGGGTTCTGGCCCCATGAAGTAGAACCCAGCGCAGCAGGGCCTGTGCCTGCCGAGATCTCCCTTTGGATGGGCCACTTGTGGAGCTCACCGGATCCTGCTCTGACGTGGTCTGAATCCTACCACCAGCTGCGTGGCATCTGGGGCCTCTTAGGAGGGATCCAGCGCGGGTCTGGGTCAGGCGCTGCCTGGGACCAGCCCTGGGCTGCCTGTTTGGAGCCACAAAGCGATCCACAGTTTGCGGCTGCCTCTGCTGGGCCTGGCTGGGCATGGGGGGGAGATTGCTCACCAAGGTCGGCTTCCCCAGCACCAAGCCCGGGGCAGGCCAGCGAAAGGTCCGAGACACCAGACTCCGGAGATCTGCTTCCGCCTGCTGGCTACCTGTTAGGCTCAGTCACTGAAAGAGCCTCTGGCGCCTGCGAGAAGTGTGCGGCAGACTCTCAGGGATCCCCGGGTAGGAGCGAGTGCTGTTCACCAGACTGACGCTGGACCGGCCACTCAGCGAGAGTCTCAGTGCACAGCAGGGTCGGCCCTGTGGACCTTTGGGTGGGCGGGGTCTCCGGGAGTCCTCTGGGTGAGGCCGGCAGCGTCCATCAGGCCCAGACAGACCAAGGTCAGGCCGACTGTGTGAAGCCGGGGGCGGGGTGGGGGCTGTGGGGGGCTCTGCTCAGGAACAGTCGGGTGGGTCAGGCAGGTCCAGCGGGTCGGCACATTACTGGTACTGGGATTTGAACTCTGGCAGTCAGGCTCCAGGCCCCACCCTTAGTCATTTTCATGTACTACAGTAGCTGTGAAACTTACTGCAGCAGCCCACAGTGACATATTTTGTGTTGCGGTACAGAGCCACATGCCTTCGTAACTGAAACACGGCTTCGGGGAGCAGTGCTCACCCTGAGCGTCAGCAGCGCTCTCGTTCCTCCCCGCACTGACACTTTCTGCCTCCTTGTTCCCTCCCTCCTTCCCTTCCCTCCTTCTGTGTCCTGCATCGCAGCCTCCCATAGAAAGACGGTGCAGTGCTGCCTTCCACTGCTCATTCATCAGGCTTCCCTCAGGGCCTCTTATGTGTCTGACACCGTAGGTGCAGGGGACGTAGGTGTGAAGAAAGAATACAAGGTCCCTGTCGCTGTAAAGCATGTAGCCAGAAGGATTTGCACGTGAAATACAGTTGGGAAAAACATACTGTAAATGGAAACCCCTCCAAATTTAGGAAGAAATCTACTAAATCTACTAGGTATCAAGCTTACATTACCTAATACATACAAAACTATATAGTAACAGTAATTAAAAGTCTATAGAAAAGGGATGGTTCATAATGAAATAATTAGTATATTCAGACAGCATGCTACGCAGCATTAACATAAAGACCTACAGTGACGTCTGTCGATATGAATACATCTCAAAAAGTTGCAAAAGCATAATAAGCATAGTGTAATTCAGGACAGAAACATATTATGATAAAATATAACGCAGCATAATACAGTACGCTGCAAAAACATATAGTATTACATCATTTGTGTAAAATTTTATGTATGAAAACCATCCAAGGGATGACCACACACCAATTTTAGGGTAATATACATTACTCTCTAGGGTGGAAAGGAAGTTGAGGTTTTAACAAATCTTGTTAAAGTAAAAAAGTTACCAAATGTGGCAGAATTTAACCACTGTTAAGCCTGTGTGGGTGTGTGGTTATCTCATCATTTTGGGCACTTTTCTGTATATTTTAAAAGTTTAATGGTTAAAAATTGAAGGGTCAGATGATTGTCTACTGCACCAGTTCTCTTTGCGTGGTACATACACATTTCTGTGTTGTTGCCTTCCGCTGGAGTTCCTTGTGACATTAATGTTATATTCCTCTAAAAAACCCACTGTGGTCACGCGTACTATGGTTAAAGAGATCTGGGATTTGTAGAGGAGCCAGGCCCGAGGGGTTTTGCGCCTGGCTTACCAGCAGATGGCGCTGCTCCCCAGCGGATGTGCCCGTGAGGCGGCCGCGCCGGCACCCCAGCCTCCCAGCGTGAGTGCAGTTTTACCCAGGTTCCTGGAAGGAGGATATTCATGTATGTGCAGCTCTCTTTATGCCAGTAGGAAGGGGCACAGAATCCACCCATTTGTCCTTTTACATCTCTCACATTCCTGTGAATATTTATAGCCTTGGCTGTGTCCGAGGCTGAGACTATGGCAATGATGACGATGCGGTGGTGCCAAGAGCTTCCCTGGCTGTTGGGTTGAGGAGCCTGATGCTAATGTGTGAGGCACTTTTTCCTGTTAAATTGACCAGGGAACCTTCCTTTTATTCTAGGTGGAAAAGGATTATTCTTACTTGAAGGAGATATGTGATCATCAAGCAGAGCAGCTGAGCAGAACCAGCCTGAAACTGCAAGAGAAAGCATCCGAGAGTGATGCAGAGATTAAAGACATGAAGGAAACCATATTTGAGTTGGAAGATCAGGTGGAACAGCATCGAGCTGTCAAGTTACATAATAATCAACTCATCAGTGAGCTGGAAAGTAAGTGAAACCGAGGCCTGTGAAGCTTGCAGGTCAGGTGTGACTAGGGGAGGAAAGAAACCAGTTGCAGTGAGTAATGTGAGAGTGTTTATGAAAAGTCTTTCTTTTGAATGTTCTGTAATGTCCTAGGAAGAAAGGCAATTAAGAAAGACAGAATAATTAATCTCCTAGACAAAGCTGAAAACTGGGCGATGTAGAAGAAAAGGTTTTTGAACGTGAGTCAACAGCGTGAGGTGATTGTAAAAAGAGCAAACCCATTTCAGAGTGTTAGCTACACTGCATGTGAACCACACTGTGGATACCTCTTGTCAGGTGTGACAGGGTGTCCTCATTTTGGGTGTGATGGATAAAAAGATGGGTGACAGAAAGACTGGCTTGAACACTGTGTGCTCTCGGTGTCTGGGAGAAAGCAGCTTCAGCGTGTGCACCACGGATGGTAGGGTATCAAATAACACAAAAAGTGGCCTCCTCGTTACTGAAGAGGCACCAATATATGGCTTATTTACAAAATCATTGTTTGCTTTGAATACAGAAAGACATTTTTAAAAGAGATCAGTTAAACATTGCCTGCTTTGTTCAAATAAGGCTGTCAGATGATCTCATCTGTTGTGTTTTGCTTTTGCAACAAAAGAATTAACACACAAAGCTTTTAGTGACAGTAATCATTGCTCAAAGTAGCATAGTTGATGTCCTGCAAAGTTCCCCAACATGCCCAGTTCAAACTGATTCTTCATGGAATCCATATTTATGAACTCACCTGCTTGCCAACAGTTATTTGTAGCCTCAGAATCCTTTCCCTTGGCCCTCTGACTGTCGTTCGCGGACCTGTGCAGAGTTGGGGAGGGGGGGTGGGGGTGAGTCTCCCAAAGTGCGTCCCCAGGGCAGGCGGAACTCGTGAAGCTCGGCCCCTGGTTTCAGCTCCCCCACTGTAAACAGGTGTTGTTTGATGGCATATGTAGTGCCATGTGTTTTGCAGTTGTGTGCTTTGTGTGGGTGATCTCACTGTTTAAAATGGACCCCAGGCACAGAAAGGCTGCAACATGCCTTATGCAGAAAGGAGGCGAGTTAGGTCAGCCTGGTTCAAGCACCGGTTGCAGTGCTGTCGGCCGCAAGTGCAGGGCTAATGAATCAGCAGTGCCCATTGAACCGTTCACTGTTGACCAGAACCGCCAGGGAAGGGGAGAGGACATTCAGCAGCCTGCATCCGAGGCCGCTCCGCAGGGCGCTCACAGTGAAGTCTGCGCTGTGCAGTGCAGCTGTGGGAAAGCAGCTCAGTTTGTGGCTTCCTGCGATGACATCCAAATTTAAAAAAAAAAAAAAAAAAAGCAAAAACGTATGCATGGCATTGTTGTGAAGGCAGAAACCAGACAAATTTCCAATCACACGTCCCAGGGTCAGAAAGGCATTAAACGCCTCTCAGCTCGTGCTGGCTGAGGCCGCGTAGCTCATGAGGAAAGTTAAAAACTTGCAGGTGAGGCAGGTTCTGTAGCTCAGGAGGCTATGGAAAAAAATTTTTTTTAATCTTCACCCAAGGGTATATGCCTTGACTTTTTGTTTTTAAGAGAGAGATTAATGTGACAGAGAAAAACGTCATAAGTTGCCTGCCCTATGTGCTCTGACCAGGAATTGAGCCCATTACCTTTTGGTGAACCGGACAACTCTCCAATCAGCTGAGCCATCCAGCCAGGGCTGGGCATTTTTTTAAAATGCCTGTTGACTCTGATGCAGGAAAAGGTCTATGTGGCCACCATGCTTCCAGCACTGAGGGGAGTGTCACCAGACAGGGGCTGGGCCAGGCAGGTCTGCCTCAGGCCGGCCTCCAGCGGTGGGTTCTTGACTTTGTACAGAAGTTCCACAGCACCAGTCCAGGTGACTTTGAGAGTTGACTAAAGCTGGGGACAGTCAAACAAAGGAAGGGCTTACGATAGAAGAAGCAACAGGAGAGCCCAGGCAGGGCTCTGCTTTGGCTCCATTGGAAACATTATAGGAGAGCAGTGAGCCACGGTGGGGCTGCTGTTACCTCACTGGGAAGTCAGAGAAAAAGGGGTCCTGGGGACAGGATCAGGCTGGGTCAAGCTGCCGCTGTGCACTGCCTTCCTGGTTGCAAGTCTCCTGGGGGCCCTTCAAGCTTAGGAGGAAGTAACGAGTTCACGCGCGGGATAGGGCGCGGGATGGGGCATGGGCGTGCTCTAGGGCGAGCCAGCACTGGGTCTTCGCCTTCAGGGTTTTTATCGTCAGCAGGTGAGAATCTTAGGGGAGGGTTTCAGCAGAATGTTCATCACCTTTTTAGGTGCGTTTTTAATGAGCTGATGCGTCAAAATGAGTGTGTAGGGGAGTTTGGGATTATTCATTGGCCAGCTTTACTGCTTCACATTTACCTTGGGTCTGCCTGGCTCTAATGGTGTTTTTGTTATTTGTTCCCTTGACTTCATCCATGCTTGGGTTCAGCTGGCACAAAGGGCATTAACTGGGTCTCTGTCCTCTCTGTCCCCAGCCAGGGAGATTTAAGCTGTGTTTTCTGGTCAGGGAGGAGCGGTGTAAACCATTTGCTCTCACATGTCCTTGGTTAGGGGAGGTAAGGTCTTGCATTTCACTAGCTGGCTGTAAATTGTTCAAACGCATCAGCCTTGTTTGATTATCTTGTCTCAGTTTTCCCATTCCATTTGCCCAGGAATTTTCCTAGCTCTTTACTCGCCTGCCTCAAGAGGGGCTTTTTTTTCCTTTTTTTTTTTTTTAACAGGGACACTGGCAAACCTATTATATAAAACACAAATAGCATTATGTTTGACAGAAATGTGACCAAAGGCTCACGGGACCTAACCCTTATTTCCTATAGGAACAATAGTTTAATATTTGCTGACTCAGTATGCGTGGCAACCTCATGTAACTAACACAGATAATGAGGATGGACCGTACACACTTCACCTTGATGAGCAGGGCAGCACCGCGGCCTTAGGCTTCGTTAGACGTGGTAGGCGGTAGACTGCAGAGCCTCAGCATTCAGACAGAGTCAGTGTCGTCCCGGCGGTTGTCCGCGGTTGTGCCGGAGAGCGCAGCACGCGCCTGCTGCCGTTGCTGGAGGTCAGCGTGTGTCCACAAACACAGCGCCACACTTGAGAAGTATGAAGTCAAAGAAGAGAAGTCCGATTTTGCTTTGTTTTTCTTTTAATGATATACTGCCATTGAGGATTTGGTTGTTTTGTCTCCAACTCCTTAAAAGTCAGCGCAGACACACCAAGAAAGAAGCGTATAATTAATGTTCAGAACATGTCAGGCCGACTCCCTGCATTTGTATCATAACATGTCCAGGATTGAAAACAGCACAGATCGTGCATCTGTTAAGAAATGTTTAGCTTCTGTCAGGGAGAGGAAGGTATTATTAAGATGTCTCTTAACTAGGAGGCCCAGGGACACAGACCAGCCAAGGATAATCACTCCTCCCCATAAGATCCTTGAAAGAAATGGACAGAAAAATAAATAAAAAGGTAAGGAGCGCTTTTTCATTCTGCAGCATTGACCCCAAACACAAATTCTCAGGCCCCGCGTGCTGAATTAGAGCTGCTGATGCAGGACCTGACCCTGTGGGGGGTTTTCCTGGAACTTCTCTGATCATTCTGATTCATCTAGACGGCAACGGCTCTGAAGCAGGTCATGAGGAAACACTGAAGAGTTTTAACCAGGTAGAGGATGTGGTCAGATTTACATTGAAATGACTGAGAGCAGCATGGAGAGAATTAGAGACAGAGAGAGTACGGAACTAAAGCTGTTCTTAACTAGGAAGCTCTGAACATGCGCACACCCATATTCCACCTGCCCTTGGAGAGCCCATTCCGAGGGTCAGTCTGGGGCTTGAACATCTGTGCTTTCGAAAAGCTTCCCACATGATTCTAAGGTTAAACTGCGATTAAGAACTGCAACTCTAGAAATGGGTCTAAAGTCACTATAGTAACAACTAGTCATGTCCTCCATTACAGAGGCCTCACAGCGACAAAGGACACTGAGGATGCGGTGCACACACATCAGGGAGGCCGAGAGGAAGTGTGAGGAGTGTGAGTCGCCAGTCAGGCCTCTTCGGACAGTGCTGCACGGCGGTGCGGCCTGTAACCAGACCGAACGCCACTTGTTTTCCAGTTCATCCCGTTTTCTATTTGAGAAGAACCCCCCACTTGTGGCTGCCAGTTTTCAGGATGCTGAGAGTGGAATTTAGAGTAGAATAGATGGGTTTTAAAGTCTGGGGCCAAATCCGGAGCTGCTCCTTTGCTACCTGGCTTATCTTCTCCCAAGAGCCTTGCAGCTCTTCCAGCTCCATCTATTTCTCTCTTTCTAGGCAACGTGATGAAGCTGGAGGAACAGAAAGCAGACCTGGAAAGGCAGCTGAAGACTCTGACTAAGCAGATAAAGGTGAAGTGCACCTTCTCCAACATTTTACTAAAAATAGTCCTCTCTTGAGTGTGAAAACCTTTGAAAATACCCTGAATAGTCTCTCTAGCCTGTTTCCTCATAGTACATTTCCATGGCACGGGTCTAAATTAGTGTTGGCAGGCAGTAGCATTGGAGCAGCCGTTCGGGTTCGGGATGGAGAACCCTGATAGCCTTAAGCGCGGTTCCCGCCTGTGCCTTTTCCCGGTAGTGGGGTACTGTCGAAGCAGGGCCTCACCGAGGACAGCCCAGCCAGTCTCGCTCAGTGCTGGGCACAGGGTCCCGGGAGCCCCTGGCAGGGGGCCAGCCCTGGCAGCCGGGCACCTGATGCTGATGTGGACTCTGGTGTTTTCAGGAGGAAACCGAGGAGTGGAGGCGGTTCCAGGCGGACTTGCAGACTGCGGTGGTGGTGGCCAACGACATCAAGTGCGAGGCCCAGCAGGAGCTGCGCGCTGTGAAGAGGAGACTGCTGGAGGAGGAGGAGAAGAATGCCAGGCTGCAGAAGGAGCTGGGGGACATGCAGGGCCATGGCAGGTCGGTCACGAGGGGAGCCACGCCTTTGTGGCTTTGCAAGTCTGAGGGCCCCCGCAGGGAGCTTGGCTTCTCACTTAGTCACCGTGCATGGCCTTCCGCGGCGCTTTTGTGTGTGTCTGTGCTGAAGTTTTTCCTCTTTTCTTGGCTCACCCTGCCGCTGCTGCCACTGCACAGCTAGGCACACTAGGAACACTGCTGCTGGTCCCTGCCACGCGCCGGCCTGAGGTGATGAGAACACTCTACACTTACGTATGTACAAACGCTCTAGCCAAGTGTCTTCTGAGGTGAAAGAATGAAAGTCTTGTCTGCGATGCTCCCAAACCTCAGTGTCTGTGAAGTGCCCACGTCAGCAGGCGGCAGCGCCTCTCAGGTCACTCTCGTGCCGTGAGGGAGTCAACACCAGCAACGGGCTCGCCCCTCGCGGCCCAGGGACACATGCCTTCCTTGGCAGTATCCGTGGGCTGCCTCAGGAAGCCCTGGAAATGACCCACTTTGTTAAAAAGGATGAGCGTGGAAAACGTACACCTGGCTAATAGGTGGCTGTACCTCTTCTTTTTAATTTAGTTTATTTTTTAGAGAGAGGAGAATGGAGGGAAGAGGGGAGGGAGAGAAACATTGATGAGAGAGAGAAACATCAGTTGGTTGTCTCTTACACGCACCCTGAGTGGGAATCGAGCCGGCAGCCTTTGGCTTCAGGGACGATGCCCGACCCTCTGAGCCACACTGGGTCTTAAGGGAAGGAAGTCACGCAGTCTGTGGCCCCAGAAAGCTCCCTCGACAGTGAAATTTCAGAAGGAGGTATTCCTAAAGGGATCTCAAAGTTAATTATTATTTACAATTTAAATGATTTACAAACAAGGTTGTAAGTAATTATTTTAAGCTTTAACTAATGTACTGTTATATATCCCCAATCAGGAATAAATGTCCTTACCTTTGAGATTCTTAAAGATTAGAAAATGATTTTGAATTCTCAGATGTCTCTCAAATGCAGCATTTGTAAACCAAATTTAGTAGGTCTGAGTGCTGATTGTACACTTTGCCTTTTTTACATGTTTTCCAGGATCAGGAAGGTTGTTAATGAACCTAACCTTCAGGCTAGGTCCTGAGCCTATGGGTCTAACATATTATGAATTTCCTGACACTGGAAAGAATAGATTTTTTTAGAATTCTGTTTCCATTCTCTTGCCTAACTTGCTTCGGTCAATTCCTCGTCGTCTTGTTTTTGACTTCCATGTAAAGGAGCCTCTAGGGAGGGTTAAGATGTGATGTGTAGCTCACTCCACAGCTTGCTCTTGAAAGTCAAGGCCATTATCTCACAGTCACGCCTGCACCCTTTGGCCGCCACAGCATGTGAATTTTAAGTTAAGTGTGAAGGAGAACAGATTGCATAGTGTTTCCCTACTGAAATGTTCCCAAGGTCATTCTGCTGTTCTTTTGTGTTTCCTTTATTTGTCCATTTTTCTTGCTTTTAGATTGTGTTTTTGGTAGAGGAACCAAATCATAACTTGCATTCTATGTTATTTTAAAGATAAATGGTAAAAGACAAGTCTTGAGTTTGTGTGATTGTGTGAGATGCTGCATTCCTAACATAGGTTCTGCGATATAGGCCCGGTTACACCACTTGAACCCTGATATCATAGGAAATCTCTGTATGCGTCTTGAAAATTTGGGGCTCCACAGACTGTATCCTACATCTTCGAACGTAGGGTCGCTTTTTTTTTTTTTTAACACAATGTGTTTCTCTTTTGAGTTTCCAGTGATTTGCAAACCTACCTCCCAAATCTAGCAGTTTAATCCCTTATCATAAAACATTTCATATTCTAGAATTGCCACCAGTCCAGAACCCGGCGTGTCACTGAAATCCCGCAGGCTTCTGCGTGTTCCTTGCCTGTCGTTGCATCAGGCAGGACTTCAGACAGTGCTCGGGCCGGTCCCTGTCTGACTCTGCCTCTCTGGCACACCACCCCTTCTCAAGAGCTGACTATTTGAAAGTTGCTATTCAGTGATGGCTCGGCCACTTCCTGAACCTACCACACAATCAAGACTTGAAACCAACCTGGGCCTTCAATGGTCCAGAAGTGACATCATGTTTCCATCTTGACTGAATGGGTTCTTGACTGAAACTCCATTTGATTTTGACAGTAATTTAGTGAGAACTCAGAAGTCATTCTTGGTTCATGCACAACCAAAGAACTTGCAGAAAATTCTCTGATGAGGTCTTTCAAGTATTGATACAACTAAGGGAAGAAGGTAAGAGCCTCTGCAAAGCACCTTGATCATAACATGGGTTTAATAGATTTAAATTCTCATTGTGCAGATACTCAGCATTCAGAGGAATCTAGTTAGGGTCGTAGGAGGGCAGATGCAGTTTGCACTTACTACCAAGAACTCAGTAGCTAAGACACAGTGGACTATTACATAGCATAGTATTTTAGATAGTTTGAAAAATTAGTCATTAGTGATCATCAGTCCTGTTACATTTTCAAAAGTTTTTTTTATTTTAGAGCCAGAGTAACTGATGTTAGGATAAATGGGAAATGAGGCTCTGGTCTCGTCTTTGCCACCAGCTGGCAAGGTGTCCTTCCCAGGCCGAGCTCCTTCCTCTCTGGAGCGAGGAGGCAGGTGGTGGTCGTTGTTTAAGGCCTGCATAAGCCCGGCTGTTTTCCAACACCCGTTGGTCAGCTGGTCTTTCCGACAGACAAGTCAGGAGCTGCGGCACCAATCGTACCTTCTTTCCAGGCAGCCCTGGGATGCGCCTCGATGCAGTGGCACTTCCACATGTTAGCTGGGCTGCGGGCCTCGTCTTTCTTGTCCAGATATCTGAACAAGCCAATGTAGTGTTTATGGACCTGAAAGTAATTATGTTTTGCTGGACATGTGCAAATTAATGGATGAAAAGGTAATAAATAATTTTTAAACTCTGGCTGCTTCTAATTTCGAACTCTTTTAAAAGAAAGACACTGAAATGAAAACTTTTGTTGAAACAAAAACATCCAATCTTTTTCCTGAAGCCTTGAGCCTGGGGCCTGGCAGACACAGAGAACACTCATGCAGCTCGACGTAAAGACTCGATGGGCCACACACAGTCTCTCCACAGAGAGACGCTGTCGATGAGCAGTTGCGACAGGGCCCCTCAGCTGGCAGCAGGGAAAGACCTCTGTGCTCTCTCAGTGAAGCCCACTGGTTTTAGGGTGACTTATTCAGTTCTTACTGTGTTTATCACATGACGCCAGTAAGCACCCATGGGAAACATCTCAAGAAAGAGAGCATTAAAATCACTGAACAATCTGTGCCTAATTAACTGTATCGTTTCTAACAGAATGACTGAGATTCGAAGTGTGTGGCGCTTGTACCCATGGTTCTCGTGTTGTCACCTCTGAAGCGAGCGGCATGCCTGCGTGTCACTGCCAGACTCTCTGGAATTGGCTTTTAGGTCTCTGTGCACAACTGTTCTGCGCTAATGTCAGCGTGCCTTGCTGCCCTGTGTGTTCTCACAGCTGTAACACGTCACGTCTGCTCCACGGTCCTGGGGTTGTCACTGAAGGGCGTAGTGTGGAAGTTGGAGGCGCGGAGTCTTGTCACTAAGTCGTCCTTCCCAGCCCTCCTGCTGCAGGTGCTGTGAAATGGCACCCCTGGCGCTGGTGGAGGGGACCAGTTCTCATGCAGATTCCTAAGCAGTTCTGAGCAGACCTCACGTTAGTACTTTTGGTGTTCAGGGGCCTGTGGCATTCTCTTTTGTTAATGTAGAAACTGGTCCTCTGGTGCCCCAACAAGCTTAATTCGCTCACCCTTGCACCACATAATTTTTCATTGTTTAAATTCGCATCAAAGGCATTCGATACGCAGCCCGTGCCGGAACAGCCATGTCTGCTTCCCTGCGCCCCAGCGCCCATCTTTACAGATCTGCTTGGGAGTGCGTGGACATGAGCTTCCCTTAGGCCTTTTAGATTTTTATGCTATAATAATAAAAGAAGTTTGGTTTTTCTCTTTTTTCGGCCTTCACTGTAGGACAGCAGAGGGAAGCTCAAGCCACTGTAAATTACAGAAAGCCTGATTCGTATCTGTCCTGGACATCTCTACCCACACAGCTGTCTGTTGGTGAAGATCTAGTGGAGACTCGTAATGGCATTGTGAAGTCTTTAGCATTCCCCCATCTGAAGACTTCAGAACATTGGGACAGTAGGAATTCAAACATGTTAGTCCCATTCTAGATATTAGCTTTTCCCTGTGGGACAGCGTCAGCCCTGTTTTCGTAGACTAAGATCGCATTGCATCAAGTAACTCCTTTACCAGCCTTTCCCCTCCCATTTCTATTTTCACAGCTCCATGGTCTCTGTCAGCTAGCAGAGCATTTGATGGAAGAAAGACAGCCCAGCCCTTGTGTGACGGGAAACTACAGCCATTTCTATATGAAAGGGGAAATGATGTAAAGGAGAGATGAGCTCTTTATAAAGAGCTAAACTGTCTCCTTATAACATCTGCTGTTGCACACAAAGTCATTGCGATCAAGTCTCTTTACCTTTTTCCTACATTTTTGGAATCAACTCATTGCACAAAGATTATTCTTTCCTCCCCCACCCCCTTTTTCTCAGAAGAGTCAGCAGTCTTTTATTTTGAGCATAAAATGAAATTCTGAAAAAAAAAAAAAACCAACAAAATATAAGTGTATTTTGAGAAAACTAACATGAGCTCATGTGTTTAGAGAGCAGAGGCAAAGCAAATCCAAGGAGTTGATGAGTCAAGCCACGCTCATGTCTTAATTTTGGAGCTTATTTTTATGCTTCCTTTGGAATATGGTGTCTGATAATCTCGGAATTAACAGTATTTAAAGCAAAAGAGGAAGCCATCTGTGTGACATCTCATTCTGAAGAAGCTAGAAAGTTCTCCTTTATTTACACCATGGCTTCAGTGGGCCTGTTCAAGCGGGGGTCTGACTTCATTACCTCATCTGAAACACGCCACCCACCTATTTTCGGTTTGATTTCCAAAACTCTCTGAAA